ATCATCTTTCTTCTTTCTCCATTTTCTAGAAACTTCTTAGCTTCTGCATCTGGGGTTGGATTCTGCTTCTTTCTTTGAGCTTTGAGATCGTCAAAGTTAAGTTTCTCTGAGCTCAATTTGCTGCTGATTTTCCATTTTCAGCTCTATTTCAGCTTTATTTTACCTGGTTAGTTGTAGTTTACCCCAATTTTTAATTTTTTTTTCCTGCTTGAATTTGATATGAATTGAATTATTTAGCTCCCCAAAAAAAAAAAAAAAAAAAGTTAAGATCTTGATGAAATGGGGAGAAAATTAGCTTTGATTCTATGGTTATCTGTATTAGTAAAAGTGATAGTAGCTCAAAATTATACACCAAAAGATAATATTCTGTTGAATTGTGGGGCCACCGACAAACAGACCACCGATTCCGATGGTCGGAAATGGAACTCCGACAATGGATCTAAGTTCTTGTCTTCAACCAAAAACACAACCACAGCTCCGGCTGACAGTCAAGCACCTGATGTTGCTGAGGTTCCTTTCTTGACTGCTAGAATTTTTCAATCTGAATTTTCCTATAATATTGCTGTTGCCCCTGGTCGGAAATTTGTCCGTCTTTACTTTTATCCCAATACTTATGCCGGTCATAATACCACCAATGCTATCTTCTCGGTCGCGGCCGGGCCGTTCACTTTGCTTAGCAATTTTAGTGCTGCCCAGACCACTGAAGCCCTTAACTATGATTACCTTATCAAAGAGTATTCTATCAATGTCGAGGGTGATACTTTGACCTTAACCTTTACGCCCTCATCCAATTATACCAATTCCTTTGCCTTTATTAATGGTATTGAGGTTGTGTCTATGCCTGATATCTATCAAGATGCTGATGGTACACCCTTTGTTGGTGGAGGTGTCAATTTTAATATCGATAACTCCACCGCCCTTGAGGGTTTGTATCGGCTTAATGTGGGTGGAAATTACATTCCTCCTACTAAGGATACCGGCCTATTTAGGTCGTGGTCTGATGATACTCCTTATATATTCGGGGCTGCAACAGGAACCACTAATGTTGCTGATGTTAATGTCACTTATCCTGATTCTATACCCTCGTATACTGCCCCTGTCGATGTTTACTCCACTGCAAGGTTCATGACAATGAACAATTCAATCAATGTCAACTTTAACTTGACATGGTTGTTTACGGTTGATACTGGGTTCAGTTACTTGGTTAGGCTGCATTTCTGTGAGATCTTTTCCAATATAACAAAGGACAACCAGATTGTGTTCAATATCTTCCTCAACAATCAGACTGCGACTCCTGGATACGACATCATTGCCTTGGCAGGCAGTAATGGGACACCTAATATTCAGGACTTTGTGGTGATTCCTCCCCCTAGTAAAGACCCCCAGCAGGATCTCTGGCTTGATCTGCATCCAGACACCAGTTCGAAGCCGAACTACTATAATGCATTTCTGAATGGAGTAGAGGTATTCAAGATAAACGGCACTGATGGTAGTCTTGCTGGGCAGAATCCAATTCCTGCCCCTACGCAGGAGGTTGTTTTCTCTCCATCAGGCTCGTCCCATTCAACTAGTCATGCTGCAGTTATTGGTGGAGTTGTTGGAGGTGTTGGACTATTCTTCCTGGTTGCTCTATTGGCCTGTTTCATCTCTCGCCGCCGGAGGTATGGAAAGGTCTCCAACCCAAGTGATGGTCCATCTGGTTGGCTTCCCCTTTCCCTGTACGGAAATTCACATACCTCTGGATCTGCAAAGACGACTACCACTGGAAGCTATGCTTCTTCTCTTCCTTCAAATCTCTGCCGCCATTTCTCTTTCGCAGAGATCAAATCTGCCACCAAAAATTTTGACGAGTCTCGTGTCCTTGGAGTTGGAGGTTTTGGCAAAGTTTACAGGGGAGAAATTGATGGTGGGACGATGAAAGTAGCTATCAAGCGTGGGAACCCACTGTCTGAGCAAGGTATACATGAGTTCCAAACAGAAATTGAGATGCTTTCCAAGCTTCGTCACCGTCACCTTGTCTCTCTGCTTGGTTACTGTGAAGAAAATGGAGAAATGATCCTTGTGTATGATTACATGGCTTACGGAACCCTTCGTGAGCATCTCTACAAAACCCAAAAGCCCCCTCTGCCGTGGAAGCAAAGGCTCGAAATTTGCATTGGTTCTGCTCGTGGATTGCATTACCTCCACACTGGTGCCAAGCACACTATTATTCATCGTGATGTCAAGACAACCAACATTCTGTTGGATGAGAAGTGGGTGGCCAAGGTTTCTGACTTTGGCCTGTCCAAGACAGGGCCTTCGTTGGATCACACCCACGTTAGTACTGTTGTGAAAGGTAGTTTTGGATATCTGGACCCTGAGTACTTTAGGAGGCAACAACTCACTGACAAGTCAGATGTTTACTCATTTGGGGTTGTTTTATTTGAGATCTTGTGTGCTCGGCCTGCCCTGAACCCGTCGCTTCCAAAGGAGCAAGTTAGCTTGGCAGAGTGGGCAGTATATTGCTACAAGAAGGGTATACTTGATCAGATTATGGATCCTTATCTGAAGGGAAAGATTGCTCCTGAATGCTTCAAGAAGTTTGCTGAGACCGCTATGAAATGTGTGTCAGATCAGAGTATTGATAGACCGTCCATGGGTGATGTGCTGTGGAACCTCGAGTTTGCTTTGCAGCTTCAGGAGAGTGCAGAAGAGAGCGGTAAGGATCTTGGCGATGTTGCTGGGATAGACTTTGTTGAAGGCAAATTTGACGTCGAGTGTGGAAAGAAGGATCCAAATGAATCCCGAACCTTTGATGGAAACGTGACAGACTCAAGGAGTACAATGAGCATCGGAGGTCGCAGTCTTGCAAGTGAAGATTCTGATGGTCTGACACCAAGTGCTGTGTTCTCTCAGATTATGAATCCCAAGGGACGTTAGATACATGTCCAATGCTTGGGAATTTCATCACCGAAATTTGGTGTTCCAGTCCTATTTTTCTGCCTAATCAAAGCAGGTTTGGTAATCAGTTTGTAAGCAACCAAAACACACAAGGAACTCCATTTCGTCATCAGACTAATAACACTATCCAAAATTTTCATCAATATACAATATCTTCGTTCATCGGTCCATGGCTATTTTTATTTAATTTCCATCTTTGATCTAGCAGTAAGTTGTATCTATAGTTCTATTTAAAGAGTGAAACTGAAATTGTTTTATATACCATATGTACTGATCTTTCTTGTGTATTTCAGTAATTTATGGTTCATTTTAGTGGGATTCATTTATTCTTCTAAACTCGCTAATCGGATTCGAGTTTTCATGCTTTAGTCCTTTGTTATGTTTGTTATAATTATATGTATGATTATTGCAATCTTGTTATCATGCATAATAATAATATAGAGTGCTTAATACTCGGTACTCGTATAATGTGAAAGTGGGTATGTAAATGTAATCGTGAATATGATGGTGACCCAAGGATAAGAAAGTAAATGCACTACCACTTAATACGGTTGTCAAATGTCAAGACACACATGGATGGGACCCATGTTGAGTTGATCGTTGTTACAGCCTAATTAGAAAAAGGCAAAATGGAAGGACGGCAATCAAGAAAGAAAGAGTAAGATAATTGACATGTCAAATAATTAAAATGGCTGGAATTAGGCTGGACATTATACAATAATAATTATGTTATATTCTTATGAGTATGACACCCCATACTAATTGTTTTACATGTCTTAATGTTTTGCATTTGATAGCTACTACGACTACTTGCTACTTAGTCCATTGGACGAATTCAATTCTAAACGATTTTCACTATTAAGACTTAGAGCAACATAATACTCTTTCCGTTTTTTAATTATCCTCGCACTAGTTATCCAATATTTATCTCATACTTCAACTTTTTATTGGCTAAAGAATGTAACGTAAATTGTATAGGAAGTGGAAATGAGAGTGGAAGGAAGGAGGATGAGAGGATAAAATTAGAGTGGAGAATGTGACATTCCTTTGTTTTATGTAAAACTAAATTTTGAAGACGTGGCATTTCAATATTGCACAAGACTAATCTATTTACGTGTATAAATTATAAATGAAGCTTTTAAAAACACGAGAAAATAATTGGTTAATACTCCCTCTATCCCTATTTTTTTGCTCCATTGTCACAATATGAGTCAAACTTAGAAAACTTTGACTACAGATTCCCGTTGTTCTACTAAATGAAATATAGTCATGTGAGATCTTGTTTGGTTCGTCTTATTGTAAATTTAATTAATATCAATTTTTTATAATTTTTACGCGTATGAAAATGAAAATATAAACGTTTTAACACATGTCTTGGAGACCGCGTACAGTTAAATAGGTCAAAAATAGAGGGACAGAGAGAGTACTTGATCTATCATACAATGATACAAAGCACTTCGTAATAGTTTTGGAATTTCCTTATCTCGTTGCACGCAAAAATGAGTCAAATATCTAAAGTCTAAACAAAAAAAACTACCCTCTTATTAAGGAAATACAAATAAAAAACTACATTTTATTCCAAATTTGCTATATGCTTGGAAATATTACTTTGTGCTCATAGCATATAGTGACGTAAAATTATATGTAAAATTATATACTTGTTTTGATGTTAGAATTGTAAATTATGAATCTCGGATTTTTTGAAAATCTGCCACTAGTACTCGTATAAGTTTATTATTTAAATTACGTGCAAATAGACGGTTGGGCAAGAGGACTCGATGGTTACTTGTATATGTAACAAAAGGTATAGAAGCCAATGTCATCACAAGATTATGATGACCCACCAAGAAGAAGAATGGGACTCTTCAAAAGAAATTACTCCTTCCGTCTCTAATTGTTTGCTCCATTGTCAATATTTGGATCAAATTTAAGTTTTTATAATACTTGAGCGGATAGATATCTAATACGCATATTAAAGACCGTAAAAAATCAAATGGGCCAAACAAGTAAGGACAAAAGTAATATAACTTTGTATTCATATACTTTCTACAAGCTTCAAGTGAGCAAATGATTAATTATCACCAGTCGAATCACATAGTCAAGAGATAGCTCATAGACTATCCATTTCTTTCAAAAAAAAAAAAAAAAAATCTTTTTAGTTAATTAGCTCATAATTCAAAGTGTATATGTGTAATGCCACTGAATATTGGATATACAAAATTAACAAGCACCATACAAAATGCAGCGTTTTAATAATGCTTGTAAATGACAATTGAGCAATTACTCTCAGATACAAGTAAAACAAATAACACTCATCTAATGCTTTTCACAACTTTACAAGAAAAAGGGAGATTGGGTAAATATAGAGGCATAGTTGATTGCACCTTGATCACAAGTCCAAACACCATGTACCACAATCCACAGATAGGTCATAGAATAGTTTCATTAAAATGGCCGGCCCTGTGCATCTACAATGGCAGTTATCTTCTTTAGTAGTTCAGCCTTGTTGGAGCCTACAAGCTTGTCAATTTCCTGTCCATTTTGGAGGAAGAAGAAACTTGGAGTGGCTTTGATATCAAACGAGGTGCTAAGATCCTGCACCACAGTAATCTTCACTTAATAACTAATGGAGAATATAGCATAATTGCAGCAAAAGGACATAAGTAATCAAAAGAGACAAGGACCACGAGGATCATGAATATTCTATTCAACAGTCTAATATAGCAGTGTGAGGATCATAAATATTCTATTCTATGGTCTAATATAGCGATATGAGAATCAGGAATATTCTATGGTTCACTATCAAATTACTTCACCATCAAAAAGAAGAATTTAGCACCAATCAGCATGGAGCAAACTTGTCTCAATTCAATTTTTAAATGTGTTGAGATAGATCCACCATCACATCCCTAGTTTCAGAGTTAATTATTGCAACTGTCCAACCCTTCCCATATCCAACCAACATATATCATAAACATAAGTCTGCTTGATAGCAGCAGTTTTGAATATGCTATAAAGAAAAAGTCTACTATGTCCCTTCTAAGTTCTATCAGAATGAATTGTATTACTTACGGGAAGCTCATCAACATCAATAGTGAGGAACATCAAAGAAGTATATTTCCGAGACAATTCACAATAATATGATGCAATCATCTTGCAGGGTCCGCACCAAGCTGCACTAAAATTTGCTATGATCTGTCAGGAAAAAACAAACAAACTTCAGCATGTTTAAGTAGAGCTTATTGTGATTTGTGAGAGGGGAGTAGGGAACCGATTAGCTGGTTAAAATACGAATAAGTTGCTTTGGCAGCATAAAGTCAAAACATGAGACAGTGATATTGACCTCATATAAGCTTTAGATAGATTCAACAATACCACTTTATAGCATAATACAATGAACAAAATAATTTTGTCATGACACACACTAATGATGTCATTGCATGAAAGAATATTGTACAAGAGTACAGTAATTAATAAAATTCACCAAATTACCACACTAATAACCCATTAAAATATCATTGTCTTAGACATAAACAATAAGACTAGGGCTACATCCTAGATGTATTTTTGTAATGACACTTACACAGTTATACACTCCTTCCCCTAAAAATAAAAAGGAAAAAGAAAGATAGTAAAAAAGAAAAGGGAAAAACTTGTGATGCCAGATGCCCTAAAGTTCTGTCAAAACATTTAAATACATACAAGAAATGCAAGCCTATCATAACCATGATAACGAAGCAAGTAGTTCCCTATTCCAGGACAAAGTATAGGACATAAAAATGAGGTACATAAGAAGGCAGCAGTTTCTAGAAAACAAGTGGAACAAGCTCATAGGCTAGCAACGAAGGCTACAATAATTTAACTTTGTTTGACTTGATGGCCAAAAAAAAAAAAAAAAAAAAAAAAAAAAAAAGAAAAGAAAAAGGTGATTGCACATTGGAAACCAGGAAGATTAAGGGTAAGGTGACAGCAAGTGAGACTGTGAGAGTAGTCATAAGGGAGATAAGCAAGCCCTCTAGCCTCATACCTCAAATTTAACTTAAATCTCTATTCATATTCCAAAATTATATCCCCTTCTAGTTTCTAATTTCATACATTAGGCTGCTGAAATACCTAAATTATGACAATGAGCTCTTTCCCACACAGCTCGGGACAAACAAATAGCTATTAAAATGTAAAGGCTAATAAAGGTTGATTTACACGTTTTGTAAGAACTAAGAAGAGAAGCACCATAAACACCAAAAAAAATTGTACAATTGAAAGATCTTTCCTTTGAAAATCTTAAGTGATAAAACTTACAATCTTGTCTTGTTGATTTGCAAGCATCAACTTTTCCTCCCAAGCTGCAATTGTTGTAATAAGGTGCACATTTCCATCGGCCATAATATAATGAGCAGAAGAATCATCATCGTCATCCTGCACCCAAAATCACTACATTTAAGTAAAACTGTCATGTCACTGTGTGATGCCAGTGCCAAATGCTCAACACCGCAACATGAAACACAAAAATCTCAAATTGATAGCGCAAAGCCATTGCTTGACAAGCCCTACCAAAGATGCAAGTCCTTACCATCTGACATCTTCAATAGCTAAAGGCTATTATTCAAATCAGAACTCAAAGAACAATCACCAAAAAACCAAAGAAAACAATTATTATGCCATCCCAATTCTCAATCAGAAATCCAATTAAGCTATCCTGCCATTGCTACTACACATACACACTCATCTAGTAAAAGATAATAATACCTTAAGAAAATGAGAATGGATTTTTTATTTTTATTTTTTTTTTAAGTGGTTTGGTTTACAATATCCCACATGAATATCAATTCAGGGTAATGCATCTCCACTCACAAACACCCTTGTTATCGCTCGAAACCATCTTACCACAAGTTAGTAAGTGGAGAGCATTTGCCTGAGACATCATATATCAAACGACACACGATAAACATTCTCTTATTTACACAAAACGTGCCAGTAATGCAGAACCTGTAAAATTTTCGTATGTAAGAGGGATCTCAGTTTAAAGGTTGTTGGTTAATCACTTAGGCAGTGAACTTAATGATTAAAAAAAGTGACCAAAAATAGCATTGGTAGAATAACATAATATAAATATCTGACTATCCAAGAATAGCTTAGGTCCATAAAAACTTACTCGTGAAGCACACAATCCCATTTTACAGCCTCCGCAGCACAATTTACTAAAGATGCGAGCCAGGGTGCTGCTGTCAGAATTGCCTGAAATAAATATAATCAGGAAATTTAGCAGGATCCAATTTTACAATCAGCAGTCCATCAATTAAATAGAGCAAGCAATTCATCCTTTTATTAGTAACACCAGCAATATAATAATTTAAATAACACCTTTTTAATATTTTTTTTGTAGAAGAATTAAGAAGCCAAAGGAAACTGTCAAAATATATAATAGTATGACAAAGTTTCTAACACTTTAAATACTGAATTTATACGAAAAAAAAAAAGATAGGGGATTTCTGCAGGCAAATCAGTGAAGATAATCAAATAAAAGTGACATGATACCTTAGATTAGATAGGATTTAACTAAACACTCAATTTTAGAAGAATTCACAAAAAGAAGAAAACTTTAGCACCCATAAATTAGATCTGCAATAGTTAGAAGATAATGAATGAATCATATGAGACAGCAAAGATCGAAATTGGTGGATGCAAACCTTTGAACAGGGGAAACCCAAAACCCTAATCTTCTGAAATCGACGAGAATTACAAGACTGAGAGAAAAAATCTAGGAAGAATTTAAACTGGGAAATGGAAAAAACGAGGAAAAATAAGAAGATAAATTGGGGGATTTGGAGTTTGTAGTGTTGTAGAAAAAGGTAAGTGATGCATAAATTGTAGCGGAAGACTAGTTAACATAATTAGACCAAGTGCACAAGTGCTGTGATACATACACCTACAAATCAACTTTACTTTCCATTTTTACTTTTTGGGTCAAAAATTATAGGTTTTAGTGTGAACACCTAAGTTGGACTAGTCCTTTCTTGGAGTATTTCTTACGAACTTGGATTTTAGCATATGCATCATGTGCCCAATTCTACTAATCTTGCCCAATCTTTACCTAATAACCTAATTTAATACTTCTACTATTTTTTAATAATTGAAACACTTCTCTTTTCACGTTTGTCAATACACTATTTCAATTGTTAATATCTTTAATGACCAATGTGTAAAAATTACGTATAAAAATTTGATATTATGAAAGTATAAATCGAGAAGAGTATAACAAGATCCCACATGACTATACTTTTTCTAACCTATAAATCACCAAAACTAGTCAAAGTGAGATATGTGAATAGTGTAAAAGTCAAAATGTTGCAAGTAAAAAAAACGGAAGAAGTACAAAGTAGGTAATGATGCAATTTCAAATATGTACTTTGTATGACTAGGGTTATTTATCAATTTTAAATCCTATCAAATCGGCTCACTCCAAATTGAATTGAACATCGGAAAACCAAAAGTATAAAAATTTAAGATTTGAAGATCAGTCGATTATGTTAAGACTAATACTAGACTAGCCTAATATAATTAGTCTAAAACCTAAACTAAATTGAATATAGACTTTATCCCCCCCCCCTCCTCCTTTACAGATATTGAAAGGAAAGACTAATTTTTAAAATACACATAACCTTCGATATCTTTTCACCATCCTTATTAAGTTTTCAAAACAACCATGCATATGTAAAATGTTTGCCTAACTCTACTTTGTTACTACCCCTTGGTCTCTTTTTGTTGTTTTTGATTGAGGCTTCGCATTTCCTTTTCAACTAGAGAACAAAATTCAACTTAATCTCAAATTTCATCCTCATTATCTCACATTTATTTTCTTACGTTTTAATTTTGATAACATTAATATTGAATCTCCTCTATCACGTATATTAATACAATATCTATTGTATATTTATTGGTAACTTGTATATAAGAAAAATAAAATAAAATTACTTGTCCGAAATATGTCAACCTGTCCCGAATTAGTTGACTAGACAATTCGAGAGTATGTGAAAAGTGTAAGGGTCTTAGCCTTAAATTGCTTCTAGTGAGATTGAACAAGGGATGGCAATGGGCCGAATCTGGACCGGATCTGTCTGGATCCAGATCCATATCCGTTTTCAGACCTTGGATCCAGATCCGTCGGATCTGGATCTGGATCTGAACACTAGAATCCATATCCAGATTCACCGGATCTGCTGGATCCGGGTCCAAAACGGATCCTTTTGCTTTTATATGAATTTCTTAATAAAAACAAAAATTTTTATAAAACAAAATCCAATAATCCCAACATTCCCAAGAATCAAGCTTAGCAAAGTAGCTGAATCTAATAGCAAAATAGCAACCACTAGCCAGCATTAGGATTGAAAGTTTAAAACACAGCAACACCAAAGGACAACAGCAGCACTAAAAAGATCACCAAAACAACAAACAACAAAGCAGCTCTCTGAATTGTTAAAACTCTACTTGTTTCTACTTGGGTGATAGCAATTAGTACAGACCATAAACATTGAGAGCCAAAGAGTAAATGAAATCCATAGTAAGTTAGAAAAGAGATATGTTTTTTTTAAAAAACAGGTAAACGGATCCAAATCCGGATCTCAGAGTGAGATTCGGATCCAGATCCTTTTCGTATCCGACGGGTCCAAATTTTCAGGATCCAGATCCGTCAAAAACGGATACGGGTCCGCGGATCCGGGTCAGATCTGGATCCATTGCCATCTCTAGAATGAACCAAAGGTTGCTAAATACAATTGGGTGTATGGTGCACCTAATGTATTTTTTTTGCTTATTTATACTTATATATTAAAAAGCGTTCCTAAAACAGAATATGTTCCATGTGTCACCTTTTTATAAGTCCTATAAATATGACATGTCAGCAATATGTGCCACGTGTCACTATAATCATGACATGCCACCTTCACAACATGTATTAGATATGACATTTAAAAAATGCTTATAGCAAGACTTGAACTTGAGACCAACAAGTCTTACCATCTTAGCCATTTATTTATTGTGTTTTTTAATCTAACAAAATTATAGTTAACTTAAATAAGATAATTAGTGTTTTATTATACTATTTGTTTCCATTATGTAATGATTGAGTTTGACAACTAAAAAATGCTTATAGCAAGACTTGAACTCAAGACAACAAGTCTTACTATCTTAGCCATTTATTTATTGTTCTTTTCAGTCCAACAAAATAATAGTTAATTTACATAAATAATTAGTGTTTTTTTTATATTATTTGTTTTCATTATGTAATGATCATAAGACGATTTAACAACTTAAGATTTGAAGTTTGAAAAACTGTATATGAAAAATAATAATTTTAATTTTCTATTAAATAGTAATATATCATAACATATCATATATTGAATATGGTTCTCAATACAAATCTTTTTTCAACTTATGAAATTTTAAGATGATTATCAAGACACTAAGAAAAAACAATCGAAATTGATTAGCAAACTAAACAAGTACAAATTAGCAACTTGGGGTATTGCCCGAGCCACACACTAGTTATTATGATTAAATTAGAGGACAGTTATTACACATATAATCATCAAAAGAGAAAAAAAAAAATAACTTTTGTGTATATTACAGGCGTGTATGTAAAATTTTCAAAATCGAACCCTAGTTAACCCAATGAACAAAGTGGATGAGGTATGCGATTCAAAGTACTCCATAACCCATATGTTGATACGAATATAGAAATAAATTACAGAACGGAATAAGCGTGAAGAATAAACAATGACCCTCTGTATTAATTTTTGAATTAATCTGATGAAAGAAAGCACCATTTATTCCGAGTACTAATTACGTAAATTACAACACTTGAAATATCGAACAATTGCACACACACAGCAAAGACACCTTCTCTTCTCCGAAGCACCAAAAGCGTGGACTTTCTCTCTCTCATCTTAGATCTCCCAGGTATCATCCATTTCTCTCTCTCTCCCACACTCGCATTGCATTTCTTCATCTAAATCGCTGTTCCATAGGTAGGTTTTCACGAATTCAATCGATCAAATTGCCGTTTTTTTTTATTATTATTTGGAATTTTAATTCAGTTTTAGGTTGAATTTGGGATCATCCAAGAATGATGGAGGACGATAAAAAGAAGAAGAAAAATAAGAAGAAGAAGAATAAACAACAAGCCAAAACAACAGCAGCAGCCGACGATTCGGCGTCGTCTAATGCTGGAGAGACAAGTTCTGTTTGTGGCGAACAAGATAATTTGTCAAATGTAGTAATTGATGATGATAAACAACCTCAATATTCTAATGGCGTAAGTTTATTTGTTTTTGTTGCTGTTGTATAACTGCATTTTCATCATCTCCATTACAGTGATTGTATATTAATATCGAATTTGCTTGTATGTGAATTAGACATTTTACTGTGCTACCTGTGAATGTGCAAAAGTATCAAAGACTAGAAAAATTCCAATTTTGTTGGGTTTTATTTCTCTGATTTATTGGTTACTATTCTTTACAATCCTACAAAATAGGGTTATAGAAATCCCTATGATATACATATTATATACAAGGAAGCCCTTTTAAAAAGGCACTAAGCTGTACAAAAAGACAAAACAGTAAAAACAAGAGTAGTAACCACTTAGGATCAATACAAAACATATAGGAGAAACTAATTACATAGAGAGAGGTGTATGAAAATGTCATGTGCTTCTTCAATCTTCTCAATATTTCCCCCCTTTAGTTGAAGCTGTGTTAAACAATCCTAACACAGAGAGAAGATTGTGCTGTTGCTCATTTAGACATTTAGTCGTCAAGTTTATGAATTGAACAAAGGACTTGATGTGAAGCACATTTATGAAATTGCTAGTGATGTTATCTCTAACATAGTGGAAGTCCACCTTTTTAGTTGTTGGGGTTTTTCATAAAAGGTTAGATTATGGCAGATTGGTTGTTGCATAATAAATCAAATTTCAGTTTTCCAGGATATAAGAGACTATCCCAAGAAGACACAGTATCAAGTCAATGATCTTGCATTGAATGCTCAGTTTTCTAGTCATAGTCACAAAATCTAGTTATTAAATCAGTTGAATAGAAAATTCTGTGATATATATAGTACGAACAAGGTACTTGTCTACTTGATCACATGAAGTGTTGCATCATGAATTGACTCAATTCTTGCACTTTGGTTTGGTGAGGTTCAAGTATAACAATCATCCTATGATTCTTTTGCATACCTAGGGTCCTCCAAAATCTCTCCTTCATCTATTGACAACTTTACACCTTTGGGAAAAATGACATTTTGTTGGTTCAACCTTCTTCAAAATGTCAATTTATAAACTCTCTTATTCAACATGATCTAAACTACTCTATCGGTAAAGACCTTGACCTTAGCTTCTTTCAAGTTCCATCATCTTGTACTTGGTTCACCTTGACTTTTGGTCCTTATATGAGCATTCAAGACCAAAACCCTAAGTAGCTACACTCTCCCCTATAATAACCTTACAATTTTTTGGCTCCTAGAGCTATTTTTATGCTTCCCATTGGTAATGTGCTTTCATTTACAACAAATAAAGAGAGTGTTGTACATAGAACAGAGGCTTCAGTTCTTCCTATGAGTCTATGACCATGATGTTTTGAAAATAAAGATTGAAACTTTTCTTTGCTTTGATATTGATAAAGCCTTTGAATCTTTTCTTCTTGCTAGATCTTTCACAATCCTGCTGTGATACCGTATAATTCCAGTTAATGATCTTTTCATTTTCAAAATCAAAGGCTCTACCTTTTTGATTTTCTACTGGAAGAATAATTCCAGTTTTTCATTGTTTTTATTTCTCTTCATTTTTTGGTAACTATTCTTACTAAATATACAGGTGTACCACCCCCCCCCCCAAAAAAAAAAAAAAAAAAAA